ACAACAACAACAACAACACCATTTTGGCCATTTTGTGCACAGGCTGTCCAGTCCCTTGAGCGGTCATAACGTGGCAGCCGTAGTGACCATCAGCGTCTCGACATTCGCCCTGGGTCTGTAATGAATGTGCTCAGCCCTGTTTCCTGCTTTCTGCTGCTGGAAAGTCAAACGATGATGGGCCTTGGCAGCAGATCCAGTTCCAGATTGTAAACCTGTTTTGAATAATATTTGTAGGCTATGAAAGTTTGCTGCCTGATTAAACGATTGATCCTGTTTCAGACTCTTAGCTCTGATATGGGGGGCTGGAGAGGCTACCGGGTGCAGACAGGGGCATGAACCACACCTGCCAATGGAAGATTTTCACTGTATTTATTGGAGATGCACCAGATCCTAATCATACCCATTTCAAAAGGGCTCACAATGGAACAACTCATGTTATTCTACCCTTCCAAAAACCAAACTGGGAACTTGGAGCGGTTAATATTATCCTTTTACCTCCCAGAGTCTGACAGGGAGGATCACTGACACTGACTGAAAACCCCCCAAATCATTCAGTTTATGTGTTTGGATTTATAAATATACGTCGCTAACTAAACTGTAAAAATGTCTGGAATCACTACACACTGCACTGAGTTCACCATCTGATCACACAGTTCAGGTAAAGGCTCCATTAACCAAAGAAGAAGCCACATGTTCACATGATCCAGAAACCTAGCTGCCTCATCTGGGCCAAAGCTCATTTCAGACTAACTGTGGACAGGTAAATTCAATTCCAGAGATATGTTTGGAAAACCATGAATACTGCCCTCTGTAGGAGAAGCACTCTCTGATTTGTTACCAGCACACACACTTGCATCTCTGATTGTATGGACGTCCATACAACAAAACTGTCTTATAAAGATCCAACAGCAAGCCTATAAAGTTCCAAGACATTTACAGACTGTTGTTCTATGATGAATAAAATTAGAACTAGTAAGATTTCCCAATGAATTCTCAATTCATGCTGGATACACAAAGTGAATAACTTATCGAAAAACAATTCAAACATACCCCTCGGAAGTGCTTACTGTGGAAAAAAAATCAGTCTTAACAAGCAATGTACACTTTCTGGACTCATCAAGGGGTCTGAAAGCCTCTAGAAAAAACCTGATAAGAGTCCTACAATACAGAAAAATCTACTCTACCTACCTAAAGCCTGCGACTCATATTTAATCCTTTATTGATCCCTGAAGGACAATTGCATTCTCTGAGAAGGCAAGAGGATGAGAGGCTTTCAACAGAGAAACAGATGAGGAGTTGGTCTGGATTCAGTGTTTTTATTCAAGACAATTCAGTGGTTTTGGGGGAAAAAAGTTATTCTGCTGAGTCTGGCAGCCTGCAGCTTTTTAGGGCAGTGGCACAACATGTGTGTTATAGGTGTGTACAATCGAACAAAATGGTGCAACATATATCATGCTTTTACACATGAGGACATAATAAAACAGTCTTCTGGTCCCAACAATGTCTTAAATATGGTAAATAAAATCTTGGATAAAGATATATATCATATGCATTTAAAAAGTGAGGCAAAATTGAAGCATTTTGTCTGAAACTAAGAAGATCTCATGGCTGTATTGAGATGTGAGTGGCAGCAATGTGCCGCTGATCATATGCATGCAGTGATTGTCATCACCACCTCGTTTGCTGGGGTGGAACGTTCAGGCACCACGAAGGAGTAAAGATGACAGCCATGATCTTAAAAAAGAAACTATGAAGGTTTCTGCCAGTATATTCTAACAACTGAGAGCCAGTCATTCCAACTCATCAGAGATTACTTTATGGGGAAACAATTAGTCAGCTAGGACTTGACATTTAACTAGGTTCGATCCAAAGTCAGACACTATTATGCTCAGAGGAACTTTTACAACCCAAGGGCTCAGACTTTACAGACCTCAGTTAGCATGTTAAATATGAACGTTCACGGCAATTGGAAAAAGACTGCATTGAGAAAGCTTCTTGTCTTTAAGAAAAACATGTCAGCATAGCTTAGGTTTGCAAAGTTACATCTGAACACACCTCAAGTCTTCTTTAACAATGTATTTTGGACCAAAGTGGAGACTTTGGTCTTAGTTCAGCAGCATGTTTGGAGAAAACCGAACATCATATTGTATCATACCAAAATGTCAAGTACAGCGACAAAAAGATTGAGTGATTTCAGCCAATCATGAAAACCTTGGTATATCAAAGCTTTGAAGCCTGGCTGAAACTGGCTCATGGCAATGACTTTAGGCTAGCCAGCTTTTCGTTTACAATGCAAACTGAGTTGTTGTGCAGGACCATAACACAGCGGAGCAAAAGTTGACGCCAGCAAACCTCGATGAACTGAAGCAGCGATGTGAAGAGTGGGCCAAAATTCCTCTGCAACAATGTCAGAGTCCGATAAGCACCTTGCAGAAAATGACTGCGTAAATTTATTGCTGCTAAAGCTGGCTCCAGTGTATTGGATCAATGTCATCTTTAACACACTGATTCTACATTTTAGCTTCTAAATACTATGAATGAATACAATCCAAGTGAAGTATGCTGTGTTGGAAGGAAGGTGTACTTTTATTTTTCAGGACGGTGTCTGGGAACTCACTTCATGAATTAAGTGGACACTGGTGTGTGTCCCACAAACCAGGGTTTCAGCCACATGGATTTATTACCTTTGATAAAACTGAAAACAGCACGCCACTGTTCGACGTGCATGAGTTATGAGAGCGGTGATGAGGTTACTCTCCCTATGTCACAGACTCCAAACAGACTGAAGCTGTTCTGCAGTTTGAATAATTACTATTGAGGTAGGTTGAGCGAGGCCACGCGGTCCAAGTGTGTGTAGGTGTTTCAGTTTGTTTTTGTCGGAAATGTGAACATATGGAAATGATTACATGTGGGTGGATTCAGCATGCTGCCATGTTTGTGTTTGCACGTGACTGCGTGGGTCTGTCAGCCCCAGGTTCCGGAAGGTCTGAACAATAACCTTTGCATTAAAACCTTTATGTTTTAATGCTTCTTTATTCTACGAATGTGCATTTAGAAATGCCAGCCTAAAACCCAATAAATTGATACTATAATGACAGCTAAGTGTACTTCCCGTTTCCTTCTGACAGATAAAAGACGCCTTTATCACAATTAACAAGGGAATCATATAATACCTGAAATACTTATGCCCACAGGTAACAATTAAAAGCCCATGAGAGGTTAAGGTAAATTTCCTTACACTGCACAAAGGGACCACAACAGTCATAGAAACTGAAAGCAGATGCTTTGTCAAGTCTTCTAGCGGTTACAGTGGCAAAATAACTTCCTATATGAGTTAAAAAGCAGCGCCGAGACTGGATCAAGTAACTCGCCCGAAACGAAGAAACCCGACTATGAGGCATGTAGAAAATTCAAGAAATACATCAATATCCTCATTAGTCATATCTGTTCGTATATATAGAGGGCTACAGTAACACACTGTGAAATGACACTGCCCACAGAGCTGCACAGCACCACTGGCTGTGCAGCAGAGCTGCTGAAGCCATTAGTCAGTTAAAGACCCACTTATAAAGAGTAGGTGAAGGAGAGCACAGGAGCGAGAGCCAAAGTCGAAGGGCATAAAGGGGGCAGGGAAGTCAATGCTGTGCAGATAGAGGGGCAGACAGAGAGAGCGAGGCGAGCCGTGGACGGGAGGGGGGTGAAAAATAGGAAGGGAGGCAAAGAAGGGGAGGAAAGAGGGGATGAACCTCCTAAAAGACATAAATAGGCGAAAGAGGACTTGAATCTTTGCAGTCACTCATCCCGACAGCCACAGCCACTGCTCTCCTCTCCCCCTCTCCTCACCTCCAGCCTTCCTCTCCAATCATCAGCTGCAAACCTTCATTCATCTGGAACCCTGAGCAAAGCCAGTGAGTAATCTCCACTCCACACGTTTATCCTGATTCTAACAGATTCTAACAATTCCAAGACTTCACAATCTTATCTACAAAAACAAATAAGTTTCAGGTTTTCAGCTTATCTATCTTATGCAGTAAAAGTGTCTGTGAAAATATATCCTACATGAGCAGAAGGGAAAAATACATTTGAATGCACTGAAAGAAGAGTCAATGCACATCAAACATCAGATAAAAAGCAACAGAGTTTGTGGGAACAGCAAAACTGCACATTCATTTTTCATGCAAGCACCACTCAGCAAGGCAACGTGCTAAAACTGCGTAAAACCTGGTCTGCATGCTATCAAAGACACACACTGGAATCAGAGTCAAACTAGGGACTGATGGAAGCTTTGACGGAAAAAATAAATCAATCAGTCACCTGGCAGGACAATGCAAAACTTGCAACAGGCATCTTCAGAAATGCCAGAACTTTACCTCATTTCTTATTTCAGTGTCAAAAAGCAAGTGAGGAAGAGAGAAATATCTTCAACTCACATGCTCTGCTTGTTAAACAAAAACATCTTGGCTTTCTCATCCTTCTTGCTAGGTCTTATCAACGAGGAATCATTTTAGGGATGTAAGAAAGAATGATGACTGTTAATTGACAAAAGCTTCCATTCATGCTGGAAGAGGCGTTTGAGGCCAACTTTTGAAATATTGTAATACAGGAAATATGCATCAACCTTGCCTCCATGAAGGCTGCAGCAGGGGGGTCATGTTTTGCATGGCCATAGCAGCAATGAAGTCACAATCTCGAAACAAAAACTTTGAGTAGAAGGACACAAAATGAGACAGTCATTTTGGCTACACACATGTGAAAAAAATTAAATGAGGTCTTTGGGGTTTTTTTTTAAATGGTATTGTCATGTAACAGTGTGTTGGCCATGTTTAATCTCTGTGAGTAGAAACAGATGCTCACTGATGTGATCAGAAGCACGCCTGCTGTGTCACGACAGATTTTCATTTAAATCCTCATTTGTACAGGCTGGGAAAAAAAACCTTCAAGCATGCATTAATTATGATTTCTAAAAGTTTAATCAATCTATGTTTACACATAAATAAAATTTAAAAAAACATTTACAAGAGAGTGAGCAGAAGCAAGTAAGTGAATACCTCCAAAAAAAGGTTTAAAAAATTGATAAGACATCATTAAAAGTGCTGTATATAAGCACATGCATTCATTCACAGCTAAGTGATGATTTGATTTTTGTCTTTTCGTCTTTCTTTCTCCTCCCTCAGATCCTCCATCCTCCCACAACCTGACCCTACCATGGACATCACAAAGAAAGCCCTCTCCATATTTGAGGCCCTCTATCACCTGCTTGTCCTGATGCTGACACTGGGCTGCAGCATCCAGTCAATGCCCGTTCCTACTGATGTTCCCATGTGCACCGCCCCAGAAACAGCTCAGTATCGACTCACATTTACTGGAAAATGGACACAGGCAGCTTTCCCTAAGCAATATCCTGTCTACCGTCCCCCTGCTCAGTGGTCAAACCTTATAGGTAAGAGCACCCAGCCCTTTCCGACTGTATCCTCAATTTACAGAAGACATTGACCAGTATCATTTCAAAAAGATAACATCTAAAGCTATGCACATTATGGCTCATCGTTAAGATCAAGGAATAAAAAACAAACAGCTGAAAAATAATGTTCTGAGGAGAGCCAGAACTGGATCAAAAGGGTGTTTTTCTGGTCTGAGTGACAGATTATTTAACAGAACCGTAGTCGCACAACACATTTAACATCCCTCTGAGCAGATGTATATAAACTGAATATTACAGACTAATACCTGTTGGACCATTAACTTCAACCCTCCCTTCCCTCCCTCTCTTATCTAGGGGTGACCCACAGCTCCGATTACCACATGTGGCAACGTAATGAGTTTGCCAGCAACGGAGTGAGGGAGTTTGCGGAAAAAGGCGAGGCCTGGACGCTCATGAAGGAAGTCGAGACGGCCGGCGAACGCATCCAAAGCGTTTATGGGATCCTCTCCGCTCCTGCTGTTGTGGGAGGCACTGGCCAGATGAACACAGAGTTCGAGGTCTTCGCCAGGCACTCCTATGTAAGCCTCTCAACAACTGGCCTCCTTCAGTCTGAGTCAGGGCATTGGGTACATGGGAAGCACGCAGACGTAACAAGGTGGTGCGATGCTTTCTTTAGCCTGCATCAAGGGCCAAAAGAATTTCTCCACAGATCTTGAAAATTAAAGGTCGTGTCTGGTCAGAGGATGTTTATTTTAACCTTCAGGTGTAGTTTTAAGTTTCAATGTAATGCATCGAAAACCACGAATGCTTTTTAATCTGACTAAAAACAGTTTTCAGAAAAATCTACATTTCCCAAACTCTTACTGTCATTTTTATAGATGTACATTTAAAGTCGAAATAAGAATTTATATGCTTGTTTTTAAATAGATTAAGGGTATATTGAGTCTTCAAATTTCCACAGACCGTTTTGTAGTCCCATCCATATTAGCCACACTAATAAAACTGGTCCCTTTAAATGAAAAAGATTAAATCCGAGTTAACTAAAGAAATAAGTGCCTTTTTAAAAGGTAGAAAAATGTCACACTATCCCTGACTGTAGACAATTTAATGAGTCAGAAGATACGGAAAATAAAACACATTACACTACCACAGCAAAACCAATTACTGTTCCAATAAAACCAGGTCCTGACTATTTCTTTTTCCTTCTGTTACAACCCAAAGAGACGAGGCCAAACTTATGTAAGACTCTTAAAATGATGTTAAGTAAGGCAGCAGTTCACTATTAAAGTTTATACCAACAAGCCTTTGGCTAGGACATAATATCAATATCTTTCTTATTCTTCCATGTAAATTTCTTCTCTTGTCTTTCCCTTTTTCTCCCTTCCCCATCATACATTTCCTCCCTTTGGCAGCTGTCATTTATCGTGCGGATCGTCCCGAGCCCAGACTGGTTTGTGGGTGTGGACAGTGTTGACTTGTGTGATGGGGACCACTGGAAGGACAGCGTCACGCTGGAGCTTTTCCCATATGATGCAGGAACTGACAGTGGGTTCACCTTCTCTTCTCCAAACTTTGAAACTATCCCACAGGATAGGATCACACAGGTGAGCCAAAAGCAACACTGCTTCAGTCCAAAGTAAAAATCCAAACCGCTCTCAGTGCAGACACGAGTTCAAACTAGCTGCTTTGGTCATTTTTGCTCTGCTGCTTTCACATAATAGTAATGTGAATATTCAGAAGAGTTTTATATATTATGAAAGTTTTAAATGTTCTAATATTTGCTGACTTAACAGTTAAAGTGACAAACAATTTAAAGTCACAGGATCAACTGACAAAGTCTCTTCCTAAACTCTCCCAGAGAAATCTTAGCGTAATGCTTAAATAGTGTACAAAAGACAGATTATTATTGGTTAAAACAGGTAAATACCAAACCACATTTGTAAAAATGCATGTATAGCTTGCTGATTTCCACTTTAACGTCTGCACATGCAGATATCAACTTACAACCTGTTGTTCCCTGTTCACTGGTCCCCCTCCACAGATCACCTCCTCATTCCCAAGCCACCCCGCCAACTCCTTCTTCTATCCCCGCTTGAAGCACCTACCGCCCATTGCCAAGGTCACACTGACTAAAGTAAAGAAGACAAATCAAATCATCAGCCTTCCAGTGGAGCCCACCCAGTCCAACCTTCTGCCATCAGGAAACGAGATTGAAGACAAGCTCATAAGTAAGTTTTACAATTAAACACTATGCACAATCAATCTCCTTCTTCATTTCAAATCCTTAAAAAAAATATAACTGAACGTATGAATTTGAAGCACACATTACATTAAATTGTGGTAAAAAAAAAGTATATTATGTATTCATGATATATAATATATCTATATGCACGGTCTGATAAATCAACACTGTAATAAAACAAGTGAGGGGGGTCGACGTCCTCTTAATGTACCAATATGATTCATAAAAAGCATACCGATGTGCAGAACTGCACAAAAAAAAGAAAATCATATATAGTATACCCCACTTTTTTGCTAAACTTAACACAAGGCTAGGAATCTGTCTGCTGAACTGACTCATATAAGCATTTGGGAAAAATTACAGGCCACACACCAACGCAATTACATCCAAGCAGAAACCAGAGAGGCAAACTCAGGGCAGGGCATCAGAAAATGCCAGGGGCACATCTGGCATCCAGCAAAAACTGGCAAAATATAAAAGATTGATTACTTGAAGGACCACTTTTCATGAATATGTGGTAATTATGAACAGCATTCAGGTCCTGACACCAAATGGGAGGCTGACATTCAAAGTCGTACGGCTGAGCTGGAATTAATTAATGTTGGCTCCCACAATGTTTCACACCATGCTTTGTTGATTAGTGGCAATGATTCAAAAAGTCCACGAGGGTGAGTGGAAGTAAGTCAAAAGAAAGGGCATCTCAAGCTCCTACGGAGGCCAACGATACTGCAGCCTTCCTTTTAGAGAGGCAACAAAGCACCATAAACAGATGACACGACAGGGAGAGCTTTTTAAAGGAAAAAGGAGCAGACACCATGTCAATTTGGCAGAGACGCCAACGGTGCGGTAATCTGATTCAGAGTTGAGCGTGACCGTAAAGCTTTGAGTCAGCATCACAAAATACAAGCCCGTTCCCCTGACTACCCATCAACAAACAACACAGAGCGGCCAACAATCTGTTGGGGTTTCCTGCCTCGCTCCCAACGCTCCATCCTGGCCCTCCATCTGTTTACCCTTCCCCTTTCCCTTAATACATCTCTTCTATGTCCTCTCCCCAGAGCATCTGCGAAAGCTTTCCTCAATGATTAGCTACCATGCACCGTTGATTTTCTAGGTGAAACACAGCACCAATGCTAAATACTGTAAAGCAGCATTGTGTCTTGCAACATATCAGCATCTCAACTGTCCTTTTGCTGAAAGGATACACACACTGTAGAGAGATGTCAAATAAGCTTTCACTGGTGATTTGTTCTCAGTCCCTGCATCTGACCATCCAGAATCACCTCTGAACCTTCTGCTTTTCCACTCTGACAACTGTGTTTCATATCAGCTGTGCTCACAGTTCAGTTTCCTAATGTTGCCAAACAAGGGTTAGGTTTTGTGAAAGGGAGAGGAGAATTGAAGAAGAGTTTTAGGCTTAATTTATCTATATTATCCATTAAACTGGAGGCACATTAACAATGAAAAACTGGCCTCTTCCATTCATTGCAACTGTAGTCGCTTTGGCAATGGATTAAACCCATATTTGTGGTTCGGTGGGGTAGATTTTTACTGACAAACAGAAACCATAGTCAGCAGAAAATTACCGGATTAATGAAGGTTAAATAGAAATAAAAGTGACTCCAGCAGGGCAACCACTGCCAAGAATTTAAAACAAGAGACCTGGGATTTATAAGGCTCATACGGATTGTACATGCCAAAATTTACTTTAAGTCCCTGTAATTTTTATTTGCTTTTTTATTTAAGACAGATTACTGTTGCAGCTGTTTTAACACATTGCTCTTCAATAAAAAAGAATCAGCAATCTGCTCATGTTACGCAGTCCCAAATGATGCAAAATTTAGAAAGGGAGAAAACAAAAAAAACCGTATATCAATCTTAACCGGTATGTGATTATCATGAGTCTCAAACTGTGTCCGCAGACACTCCTCTGGACTGTGAAGCGTCGGCATGGTCTCCCTGGGGTCTGTGCAAAGGCAAGTGTGGAGAGTCAGGTGTGCAGCACCGCACGCGCTACGTCATAATGCACCCCGCCAACAACGGAGTGGCCTGCCCCCTGTTGGAGGAGGACAGGAAGTGCTTCCCGGACAACTGTTTATGACTAGGCCAGGACAGGAGGGCGAAGAAAGAGAGAAAGGAGAGGAGGAAGAGGAAAGAGAAAAAATCCAAGAGAGGAAGGAAGGGGCGAAGACGGACGAGCAACAATAAAAGATCTGCGGTATATTCACTTGAGGTTTAGGTGTGATGAACTACATCCCAATGTGTTGAATACCGATGGCTTTTTGAATTAGGGAGAGAGTGACTGCTGTCTATCCAATTCTTTTGATGGATGTGATAAAGCTAAAAGGTGTAGTTTGGCTAAAAAAAGAGCTATTAGACACCAAGTTAGCCTTGGCACACGTCAAATAGACTGGGGATATGACAATGTTGTAACAATAAAGGGAAAACTCATGATCACACTGATATTGATATCGATTTGACAATTTAAAGATCACAGAGTTAATTGTAAGAGATACTTTTAAAGTCCAATAATCAGATTGGGGGCAAGGAATGAGATATTTCCCCCCAAAACTTGTTGAGGAAATATTTTCAACAGAAAAATCCACGTTTCCTAAACAATGTTGCATTTAAAAAATGTTTACAGAAATGGTGTGGTTGTTTTCCTTAAGAAAAAGAATGTATTTATTGACAGGATTTTAACCTGTGATGTACAGTATATAAGATCTGAAAGTAATGACCAGTATTCCTCTAGGTTATTGAAATATCAGTCTAGTAAGTGAACATACACTTTTTGTATAAAGAAGGAAAAACAAAAAAAAATGTATTGAAAATGTGTATGTTTTTTGTACAGGTCAAATAAAGTGTAAATATATAAATATAAACATATATATGACTTGTTTCTTAATCTAGACTATGATGGTATCTGTCACATTTAAATTTAAAACATCAGAACTGCATGACCTGGATTCAAGCTCCAGTTTTGGACAGGATTCATCCTGATGAGTTGTTGGTTATATAAAGGATTTATGTGCTTCCCTGTCATAAAAATTGGTTGGAAATCAGTTTAGATAACAAACTTTAAACTGGGGAAGAGGCTCCCAATATGCACCCAATATTGGGCAGCATTCATTTCCGACCTATGCCACATATGTCACATTTACATGCTCACATCCACGTTTTCACCTACTGGCTCCTGGTTTTCCTCCTGTTTGTCTTTTTGCAGAAACCCCTGATGCTTCTCTGTCTGGTTTCCCCACACAGGTTGAGGGATGTTTTTTGTTAAGTCTCTCTACAGATGTAGCAGCTGGTTGTCTGTTTTTTTCTAGTTTTTCTTATACTGCTGTCTTCTTATGTTATTGCTTTATATCTCTGTCTCATTTTTCTTTTCTGGTGCTTTTCCTCTCTCTGTCCCCCCTGCCAGACATGAAATTATCATATCATTTTAACATAAATAAATAGTTCTTGGACATGAATGGGGAGGTTTAGACCCATAAAGGTTCCATCGGACAAGGCAAATGCACAAACACAGCATTCAGACCACCCCTCTGCTTGCCATGATGTTGGAGAGGATAAGGTAGAAAAAAGAAAAACAGTTTTACAAGGAGTGAAACTATGTTCCAGATGGCTGACTGGAAGAGACAGAAGCAACGTTTTATTCTGAGTAACGAAAGAGAAGGGCTCAGAATAAAGATAAAATCATGACAAATATTGAGACCTCACAGAATATTAACACGATCCAACAGATTCACACATAAGGATAAAAAAGGTACACAATACCAAAATAGACTAAGTTGACAGTAGAGGAGAAAGAGGTCTGATGGCTGAATGTACCTCACAGGAAAATGCAACTTTTTATCAATCTGTCTATTATATCTGCATCATATGCATCATGTATGAGACATGGATTCATGGCCACCACAAACGTTATCAATGAAAGATTAACCTCATACATCCATTTAGAGCTGACCATTTTTGCTACACAACTGAAGTGTGGGTGGAGGTCTTCACTAAGACTTTTGCAGATGCAGAAAATGAGAAGGGTTCCTTCTGTGCGTAGGTGTTTACATTTCAAGCGGCTGCTTCTTCAGTCAGCATACGCTGGCTTTGATATGTGATGCTTTGTGTGACGTTTTTCACCAAATCCTGCTAGTATCAGGACACCTTTTGCGTTAAGTTGTCACACTGCACTGCAATGATTAATGACCAATGAAAGCACACCGTTAGGCACTTCAGCAATTTGTTGTAATCACGTCTTTTCTGGAGATTTATTCACCCCAAAAACACTGTACAATATCAATTTTAAAAAGGAGGCGTTGCTGGATATTCATTAACTGGCGCAGTATGTGTTTAAAAGCTTTGCCATTGGTGCCAAAGTCAACCAGTCACAACACAACCAGCATGTCTCATCCCACAAGGCAGCATCTGGGATTTTCTCACACTCAAACCGTCCCCCTTCCAGCCTTACACTGAATATATGCCACGGGGCATGTATGCTTTTCAATGAAAGGCATCTGAACTTTGCAGAACTACAAAAAAATCTAAAGGCCAACTATTTGGTCACTGTGAGGTATATTGCAATCTAACCGTGCGTCGTTAACTCAGAATGGGTTTGCAAGGCACTGGCTTTTTCCTCCAGTGTTACCTAATGCTGGCAGCAGCTATGTATTTCGAGCTTGGAGAGCGAGATGAAAAATGCATCATTGAGGAGATTCCTGAAAACACACTGGTCACAGGTGAGCTGCTGACATGGTGTTTATGTTCCCAACATGAACAAAAATGTTCGATTCCAAAAATGTATGTAATTGTTACTAGTCCAACATAAAAATAGACAGAAAATATAGTATTTGACATCCTAATTGGAAATGTTTAAAGCCATGAGTTTTTACAGCCAATGTGCATGAATGAATGTGTTTATTTGAGTAAGTTTTAATTTGGATGTGAAATCAAATGTGATGCAACTGTGTGAAAGGCAGCAAATTAGAAACGTGAGGAATACGTTTGTGTTTTAATGGTTATAACTAATTAAAAGAGGAAGTTAAGTTAAAAACCAGCCCATCACAGGTAAAAATACAATATGTTCTCCCGAATCAGCCTCAAGTCTTCTTCATAGCATGTTAAAACCCACCACAGGCATATGTGTGAGTCTTCTTGCTTATTAGTGATGGTTGGTGCCCTTCTTTTAAAGTTCTTATTCACAAATCTTCTAATGGTGAGTTAAAACGTTCAACAAAAAGCTGCCTTATGTTCACACGTGTCTCTTACCTTCAGCTAATTTCTTTTTGGAGCCATGGAACCTAGAGAAGGTCAGCCACTCTCCTCACCTGGGTGTCACTGCATCGGTCAGAGACCCAAACCAGGAGGTACTGCACCCATAGGCGAAGCTCAGCGTCTCACCAACCATCACCCAGCCCTGTGTTTGATGTCAAATTAAAAGACAACCAAACTTATTCAAGTATACAAACCAAAGCATGTGATTGAATGCTGTTACTAGTAAACTGACTGATTCTGTAGATTGATTACATCAGAGTAGAGTTTTGTCAAAGTTTGTTAAACTTTAAAAAGCCTTTATTTAAGAGGATACCAGTGGAAATATCCAACAGCTACATTTAGTTCCTATGCATTCACTCAAGTGAGCATCTGAGGTAACTGAACAATGGGAAAAAACACTGTCTTTCGTCGTCTACAGATTGTGGTGTCCAAACGTTTTGGAAAATTTGCTAAATTCTCCTTCACTTCGCACGCCTCCGGGCAGCACTACCTTTGCTTCCAAACAAATTCGACAAGGTTCTCCGTCTTTGCTGGAGAAAGGATGGTAAGGCCTGTGGACACACAGCGAAACAAACTGTTACCAAATGGAAAGTGAGCAGATACATAGAAACCTACATTTATATCAGTTTTTTAGAATATCAATAGAAATTGACAATGTGAGAAATGTCCTCCAATTGTGCTCTGCAGAAACTACATTTGGATGTTCAGATGGGAGAGCACTCAATGGATCCCACTGCTGACAGGACCAAAGACAACTTGAAGAGTCTTGAGTACAGTCTCAGTCACCTCGTAGGTCAGATGATGTACATCACCAGACAGCAGGAGTACCAGAGGGTAATACTGACCTAACAATAGCATTATCTGGCAGTGAGCCATCATATAACATCAGAAAGCAGAATATGAATAATGGACATTAAAAACAAATCACTGCTGCCATCTTGTGACTTGACCAGGCCAAGGCTAAGACAGAACACTACTCAGAAGTCTCTTTTCCCGTGTTTTCATGTTCCGCTCTGTTATTCAGGAGAAAGAGGAGGTGTTCCGTCAGATCAGCGAAGAAACCAACAGCAAGGTGCTGTGGTGGGCTGTCCTGCAGACCTCCATACTGCTCTTTGTTGGTTTCTGGCAGATGAAACGACTCAAAGACTTCTTCATTGCTAAAAAACTGGTGTGAGGCTGAGCTGTCCCCTGTTGGGGATATAACTCATTGTTTATTCCTTGCATGTCCTGCAAACGTTTTATAAGCTGCAGTTAATGTCTTTTCCATACCTAAATGTCCAAATCTAACAGCCCATGATAAATAAAGTGGTATTCAAATTGAGACTACATAAAGCTACAACAATAAAGTTTGAAAATCCACGCAAAAGTTTGATGTCTCTCTGATATGATATAAAAAAAGAAAATTCTATAAAGTTCTGGGAGCAAATCTTTTTCTGAGAGCTGAATTTTTAAAATAGAGTAAATACAACATCTGACGATATACAGCAAATGAAAGTTTACACTTGGTCAATATTCATGAACAAAAGTTGAGCCAAAACCCAGAACTTTTGTGGAAAAATAAGTACTCCACATGATTCAATGCACGAATCATCTTTTGTTAAAGTAACATTTTCTTTGTATGACAGTATCAGCCCCTCACATCACTGTGGAGAAATTTTGGCCCATTCTTTTTCCAACAGTCTTCCATTTCGCTTACGTCTGCAGGCGTTTGCTTATCTGCAACTCTGTTAAGGCCCCACCACAAAAATGTCATTCAGAATGCGGTCTGTTCTTTGACAGGGCCATAGCTACATCATTATTCTTTTCTGTCAGCCGCTATATTCTTCACTTGCCCGGTGTGCCTCCCCACAGTATTGTTGCATGACGCAGTATTTGTCAGGCCTGAGCTGTCAGACAGATGGCCACATTCTGAAAAACTCTGGTGTGCGGACGAGGTCAGCGTGGACTTGGTGACTGGTAGCTGCCCCGAGTGTGCGGCTGCAAAACAAGCTCAAATCGGCCCCTTCAAATCTTTTGCTCGGCATTTAGTATAAGGCATGTCTGTTGATATGCTGCGAGTGATTTTCTCCAAACATGGTGATGTGCATTATGGTCGAACACTTCAACTTTGGCCCTGTTTGTCTACAGCACATTGCTCCAGAGGGCTTGTGTGACATAAAAATAGGCCTTTTCTCCCCCCCTGCGACAACCCTGCCAAAAAAACCTTACTTGTTTAGTCTTTTTCTAAATGTACTGTCAGAAACCTCAATACGCTAACCGATGCCTGTGGAGTCTGACATGCAGCCTTTGAATTGTTTTAAATTGCTCTTGGCTGTCCTAAATCTGACCTAAGTTGAATCTGCAAGGGCATTAATTCCTGGGAAAGTTATTAACTGTTTTGGAAGGTCTCACTTGTGAATAATTGTTTTCACTGAAGAATGATGAGGATTGTTTGGAAAATGACCTTGTAACCACTCACCTCCACTGGCAGTCAGTTATTATTATCATAATCATTACTATCAATATTTGTAAATGGAAAAAAGCCTGCATTTTTATATACAACAAAAGCTGGGAATTTTTATCACTATCTTTAAATGTTTATGTCATGGAGCATGTTTGTACACAAACTTAATCTAAGGGAGCTAAAGTCAGATCTGTACTCAAATTGAACTAACTGCTAAGTGAGCATCCATCGCACGTGGCATTCTGACGTCATCACGTGCTGATAAAAATGAATTTGAAACGGGATGATTTTAACATCTGATATGATAAAAACGCTTTTCGCCAGAAATTAATAATCAGCTAAGGCGTGAAGTGGGAGGGTATGTTATCCCGTTAAAAATATCGACGATAAACTCTTGGCATTGGATGTATTGAAGGGTTAACGGATTTATGCTAAGTTAGCATTTAGCTTCGCCAACAACGGGAAACCAAAGGTAATTCTGAACATTGCTAACTCGTTGTGAACAGGCTTCTCGCCTATAAAAACTTCGCAAAACATGAAAAAATGACAACATAGGCCAATATGTTTAACAATATAGACGCTACAAGACTAAATAAAGGTATACCACTCACTTAAAATGCTTACTACAACAAACGTAGCATTAGTGATGGAATAACTAGCTTGTAAACTTAATGCTAATTTTATCTACTTGCAGGTCTTCAAATGTCTTACTGGGTTTGCTGCAATTCCTGCTTTGTTTCTCCCAGTACTGACCGAAAGCTGGCTATCACCAGCTGTGGCCACGTCATATGTAGTGCTTGTTATCAGAAAGGTAAAAAAAGAGAAAACTTTGTTTACAAAGACACAACCTAAACAACTGTTTTTACAAATGTCTGCATGCATTTATAACGCCTTCAGTACCATGACTGTGTGGAGCACTTTGCTCATGCAGCTTTGTTAGACAGGGACATCTGTTGGACAGAGAGTGAAATTGCAAAAAGCCCACTATTAAATAGAAGGTACACTGCAGTCTAGCCACATTTTGTCATTGTGTGGCTAATGTTAAAGCCTTAAATTAAATATGAATTAAATTAAAACATTCAACACTTGGCCACGGGAGGAATAGAGGTCCCTTGTTCCCACTGTAGGAACCACTGATCATATTAATAAGTCATTGGCTCGTGATGGGTCCTCTTTCATTTAATGTATATTCGCCCCGGGTCCCAAGGCTGAACAAGTTAATAATTCATTTTGGCTCTCAGACAAAAGCACTTTTGGAGGTTCCTTTTTCACTTAGTACATTCCAGTCATTCTTTATTCTTCTAAGGTTGAACCATGATATATATAACCCAGTTTTATGCTTGACTTTATCATTTTGTCAGTACCCATGGTGCCTGAAATCTGTTTTTCAGGCAACCAAGGGGAATGTTTAATATGCAGCTCCCAATGCCAGGTGTCACCACTTTCTGACAAAGTAAGCACCTTTTTCTTTCATATGAAATGTCTCAACCACTGTTGGCGATGAAACAACGTTAGATTTTAATCTCTGCTTTTGCAATGTCTTTATTTCAGAGCAGCTCTGGTGTAAAGGCCTTGTTCTCTGACATCAATGTAGTTGCAACTAAACACTTGACAGAAGTCAGCAAGGTTAGTTCACTGTCTTTGTCATTTGATTGTCCTTAAAACAAAACCTACCATATCTTAAAGAAATGTTGCTCAGTGCTCAAATTTGTTGCTGTGATAACCATTAGATGTGCTTGAAAGTAGCTGTAAATACGTAATACCTGCTTTACACTGCAGGAATTTTCAAATGAGATTTGAGTCAGCAGTGTGTTATCTCTGTTTTACCTTTCTGCAGGTTATAATGTTCCAGGCAAGGCATCAAAAGAGGCTGTTGACCTATTATCAGCAAAGGGTTAGGAGTATTCATTTTTAGGAAATCGTGGCTATTTTCATGTTTGCGATATTCATGTGAATTTGAGTATTGTTCTGAAGTACATTTTGTTCTCTTAAAACCTGACAGGCCTTAAATTCTGACCCTTCATGTCTTTACAAAGATACACAAATGAGCCTTAGTGCAGATTTTTCTTTTTACAGAATGAGAAACTGGAGGAAGTATTGGTCAAGGTGAAGCAAGAAATGCAGCAAATGAAGAGGCAGGTAGAATTAATAAATGCAAATAAACATGTACACAGGGCACATGTTGTTTAACCAGTGCTTTTTAAAAGTTTGTTAATTTTTTAATACATTTTTTCCCTTAAAAGGAAGCTAAATGAGCAGGGTTCCTACATTGCACAGCTGGAAAACTCTCTTCAGCATCAGAGGTACAGTACTGAGTATTATTATGTATGCTGCCCTCCTGCTGCCTATATTCAACAACCTTCAACAATCCTGTCAACAGTCACTCTGTCATTTAGACTCCCACAGAAACAACTTGCCTAAGAAACCATTTGTACTTTTCCTGGCTCTTGGCCAACACCTTTTCAGCAATGTGTTTTGGGTTTAGTCATAGTCATTGGTCACATTAAGGCATGATTAATCAAGGTAGTGGTCTTTTCTTCAACTCTCACTAGGTGTCACTCCTGAGATATTATGTCAGAATGAATTAATTGAGCAGGGTTATAACACCAGAACTTTTATGTTTACATGCAAGTCTGGGTACAGAATTATATGTATCTTAAGAACCACTTGGATCATTTTGATCTTACAGCTACTATTTAGGTTGCTTCAAATTTCCACATCATTACTTTGTGATGATAAACCAAATGTATTCTTTACATAATGATAATGATCTCTGAAATACAGAATTAGAAAAAAAAAGCTTAATACAAAATTTGTGAATCTCCGATCGAAATTTCTGTTAATGTGAACAGTTAAAGATCAAACCACTTAAACGTATTTATGTTAATCAGTATTACATATCTAGTCTTTTTTTTCAATAATCCTTAATGCTTCATTTTCCTCAGATGTAACTAAGTCACAAGTTTTTCTTCATTTAGTACTTTGCAATCTTTCAATATGCTCCTTTCCTTTGGCCACTTTCAAGCTCAGGGAACTTAATATTTTTACAGTTTTCTTATTTCCTTTCATTTTAAACTCTTCAAATTTGCTAATGTAAAATGTGGTTGTGACATGTACATATTTGCTAAATTTTTTCTACTTTTCACCTAAGGAGCTCAACCAAGCGTTCTGTAACATGATGTTTTGCACCAACTTTTTGCATCTGTTTTGTGCTGTAAGCGTCAACTCGTCGTTCCTTGGGGGATTCAAAACTGTACTGTGCTGCTGTGATCGTTGTTTTGTACTTTTTTACTTTATCTTTATTTTTACTTTACTTTTTTTTTAACTTTTACTTTTACTTTTATTTTTTACTCTCATACAGTGCCAAGGCATCGACTGTGTCTCAGATCAGTCGCAGCTCTCACACTCCACAGGGGCGCAAACCAGGTAAACAGTCTGTACATGTCCGTGTGACAGACTCAGCTAATTATTACTGTCTTGAAATGCTATTCACAAAAAAAGTTCAGATTTGCATGCATCAACCCATTCATATTATTATTACCATATTTTTGGGGTATAAGTGGCTTAAGTCATAAAATGCATCTTGCAGAGGACAAAAACATATACGATAACAAAAGGTTTATTTAGAAATAGAGATTTAAAAAAAAAATGTTTTTACAAAATCCAAATAGTCTGAGAAAAGACGTTTAATGGAAAGGCAAGTTGTTAAACTACATGGTAGCACACAGAGCAACCGGCTGAATAGGTTCCCAGTATGAACTATGAGAAAAAAGTACTGCCTTTGATCCAGGAAAAATGGTATAATTTATGTCATTACATTTAGCTGACTTAGTGCCAACAAGGTTGAAATAGATCATTGCTATCTCAAGAGGCTAATTTGAAATTCTTGTTGCTTTATCCCTTCAAACTACTTGAAATATAGGGAGAATACACCAGAGACAGATGGACAAATTTCAGAAAAGAAGGAATTACTAACGTCTTGTTCTTTGCAGACGCATAGATCAACTCTATATCCAGTTATTTCTCTTGTCAGTAATAGTATACATCCTATTTTATTGTGTTGCTGTATCTTATTTCCCCGCAGTCCTACAGATTTCGTATAACTCCCCTGTTTCACTCTCACGACACCCCTCAACCACCAGCATGTGAGTATCATCGATCTTTCTCATCCTGTCATTAACCCTCCCTCTGTCTGTCTTTGCTCTCTCTTCATTTCATCTTGCACTGTGATTTTTCTTCTTTTAGAAATTACGGGGTATTTTACTTTGCAAGAAGTAAAGCAGAGAAAACAAAACAAGACTTTGTTTTTTATCTGCAATGCCAAATGTTAGTTTTAGCCGATGTCTGTCCACACAGACTCACAGCTGAAAAAGCTCCTATTTGCTTGAGTTTTGGTAAGAATCCCTGCAGAAATTCTTATACACTGACCGAAGATAGATTGGATGTCTGAATTAAACAGTCAAAATGTTATTTTATCTAATGCGACTTTAAATGCAGTTAAGCAGTAAAAATGATGGATATCAGCAAACCCAATGGCTTTAAGGACAAGTCAGCTTCCATTGAAAAAAAGGTCACTGAGCAGTTAATATATTCACTGATAAATGGTTACCACCAGTAAAAACAAACCTAAGATCTCTATCTGCATCCGGACTTTGGTCTCTCTACATACGTATATGTTCCTTTGCGTCTTCAGTTTTAAATAGATTCTTCGGCTCTATTTTGATGGTAAAGATTAAATAATTAAACATTTTATTGGTTTTCTTTACGGATTATCCTTTTTTATCATTTTATGTATTTTATATAAAGATTACTATGTTAACGTCATAATGTCAGTAAACAGCCTTTCACAGTCCGGTGGGGATCAGAGTAGTGTATTAGGAGTCTAACGACAAGTTAGACAAGAATATCATTGTAAAAACTGTTGCTGGTAAATCGATTTGTGGCTGTGAAAGAAAGAGTTCAGGCACCACTGTTCAGCCTGCTGAACCCAACAGAACTAATGAAGTGTGCCTTCCTGTCTGGCAGCCCTGAAAACATAGGGATGGGGGAAAGGAGTCTTTTCAGGAAAGTAAGTGCAATTGTTTTACCCACAGCTCTTCTTCATTTAAAAATAGACCTGTGAAGATTTTACAGCATCATGATATCTGATTTCGGTATTCAGTGCATTTGGTATGAAAGTGTTAGAAAACAAGATTTTCGTGTGTTGTTGTGTTTCAGCCCGGCTCTACACCCAGGCTGTCAGTTAATAAGCCTTCACTAGATGGAAGAATGGGTATTTGATGCTTTTTCTTATTTTTTCTTTTTCTTTTTCTAAAGCTTTTGCATATGGTATTAGTAAACGCTAACACATTTAGAACGTCTCTGCGTTAAGTTGTTCTACACCACAAAGCTTTCTAAAGCTTTGAAAAATGTCACATGCTTGGAGTTCCCTTCCCAAATTGTATAAATCTGTCTGCCCCACTTGTATAGATGTCAAGGCAATTTATGGTTTTTATGTCTGCACGTACATTCGGCCTATTTAACATAGATTTCTCCATATCCACCGGTCTTTCTGCATCTGACAACATGCAGGTCAAATCTTTGAAGCTGGATATCGAGCATGCCTCCAACATATTCACTCGGATCAATTTTTATTTAGAAAAACAACTAACAAGACAAGCAGCAGAAGATCAACATAGAAGCTTGTTTTGTGGAAAGATTTTGCTGGAGAATCGCCATTATCCACAATCTGTAGAGTGGATAATCACATGGCTGTACACGGGAGGCTTCAGTGAGGCAAATCAAACATAAACATAGAATTAATGATGACAGATACATGGTTACAGACTGGCACCACATGGCCTCAATGCTGCCCGTTCTGTCGAGAAACCAAATGTTCTTTGGAGCATCAACCATGTTTAGGTCTATCTTGCCAACTGGAGGATTACACAGCCAACAGTTCTCCATCATTAGTTATAAAACCAGCCCAAATGCTGTCTTTTGATAAGCTGAGTTAAGCTTCTCAGCCTCTTAAGGCTTTTGACCCTTGCTGTGGAGACTGAGACATATGATAACACTATAAATATTTTTTGTTGTAAATGAGAATATTTGACCAGCATTAGAAGGATTAGGGTTTTAATTCCTTTACATCTGTCCTAAACGTACTCTAGGAAATGATGATATCAGAGGTGAAAATGGAGCAAACAGCGGCAGAGCTGTGTGTTCAGGCTGTAGGTGTGTTGCCATGTTTGGTAGCAACCTCTGCAGAGGTTTGGAGAGAGGATGACTCAACCATTTGTCCTCCTGGAGAGTTTTCCTAATGACACTTGCATTAAACTCATGTGGGGCCAGAAGAAACGCTTAAGCCTTTAATGAAGCAAACGTCTGTCGTGCATTTTGAACGCAGGCTGTTATTTCTGGTTGAACCATGTGTTCATCTCGTTCTTTTTCCTTCTAGGCACCCCATCTCACAGGACATCCAACCAAAACTTGGCAGCTGCTCGCTCTGTACGCTCAGCAACAGTCAGGTTGATGGATTCATTTCAGTCCTTTCTGATAAGTCCTTAATCACGCTTCTTTTTGTTTACTCACTCCACAACGTTTTCTGCCAGAATGTCACAGTTTCATACGTGTTGTCCACATCAATCACTTGAAAATGTTTAGTCAGTTTAGTCTTCTAAGTGTTGTAACGTCATAAGAAATCCTAAAAGTAAAGCAAACTGTCAGGCCTGTTAATATCACTAACACATTTTGATTATTTTTTATTTTCTTGGACACTCATATATACAATTTCTTTGTTTTTTTGGGGCCTTCCTAAAAGAAATGAAATGAATGTTCAAACATGTGTCCTTTTCTCCTCTTTTAGTCATTTTCAAGGAGTACCTTTGTCCCCGGAGCCATCCTTCAGCCAGG